TTAGAAGCAGCTCTTAGCTTTAGTTTATCCAACACCTTCATGTTTCCAATCCAATGATTGCTGCAACCAGTAAGCTCTATAAATGTTACATTATCATATTATATACTCATTCCAGTGAGAACATTAAATAATTAGAACTGAGATTATTTTCTTTACAGTAAATCATCTAATCTCACAACACAGAGGGTGTCATTACCTTTGGAGAATAGTAATGATTGAAATCACTGATTCAGACCAAAAATCAGATACAATACTTACTATAGGTCATAATGCATCTCTTAAGTGATGCAATGCTGTAACTCAGTGACATTTCTAAATAAATTTTCATAAATATATTGATTTGTTTACAAGTATCAAATAGACCATTACATGTAACAATACAATACATATAACATGTGTATACAATACTTATAACAATGAATCATTCTGGTGTAGCAGTTTGGGACACAAATTGTGACGCAAATCTTTGGATTTTTGCCATACGTAATACAATGCCAATTTTTATGGCTGTCAAGAATTTGAAAACAACTACCCTTGACACAGGTCAGCACTGAGAGTGCCCCTCACTTCATAACAGAGTAATAAATGATCAATATGGGGCACACAAGGGAACCCATTTATCAGCCTTGTGCTTGGTAATGTGTAAAGAATACATGAGGTCGAATACATGAGGTCCATCCTGAAATCCTACAAGCACCAAACTAATTTTTTACACTCTAAGGTGAATTCACAAAATAGTTGCAGCGATTTATTGACAAACCACCCACAATCCAGTTTAACTAAATGTTCAGATATTTATGGTCTTACTTTTCAGCTGAAACATGCAAATTAGGTTCATTGCCTTATTCAGAAATCCCGATGCTATTTGTCTGGCATATTAACATTGTGCAATGACTGGCCACAGAAAAAAAAAATCAGTAAATGTAATTTTATTTAATAGGGTTTTTTTGTGCATGTTATATTGATGATATCAGTCAAGTTTACTTTTGGCATTTTAAAGAATGATACTTTAAAGTAAAGTATGTCAGACTTCAGTAGTCTGCTGCATCCAACACAACCAAGCATGAAAATGCCATTGAGCACTAAAGTCCAGTTTGCACTGTTACCTGATTTTCAAAATTCTTTAAGTAAAAACAGCACATTGTGCTAATAGTGGATACAGTGTATTTTTAGTTGAGTCCCCCCTCTGAATCCTGAATCCAATTTTTATATATATATTTTGTTATCTGTTCATACCTGCCTTATTCAGAAATCCCAATGCTATTTGTCTGGCATATTAACATTGTGCAATGACTGGCCACAGAAAAAAAAATCAGTAAATGTAATTTTATTTAATAGGGTTTTTTTGTGCATGTTATATTGATGATATCAGTCAAGTTTACTTTTGGCATTTTAAAGAATGATACTTTAAAGTAAAGTATGTCAGACTTCAGTAGTCTGCTGCATCCAACACAACCAAGCATGAAAATGCCATTGAGCACTAAAGTCCAGTTTGCACTGTTACCTGATTTTCAAAATTCTTTAAGTAAAAACAGCACATTGTGCTAATAGTGGATACAGTGTATTTTTAGTTGAGTCCCCCCTCTGAATCCTGAATCCAATTTTTATATATATATTTTGTTATCTGTTCATACCTGTGTAACTTCCTCGATGCTTTATAATTATGTAGGTCAATGATTTGCTACAAATTTTGTCTTTTGTGTATCCTAAATTCAGTCTAAATTGTACAAGAATTCACAAATTACTTTCAATTTCACTTGGTCTTTTGTAAAGGATGAGATAGCAAGTGTTTTTCAGCTTTTTTTTTTTTTTTACTTCTTAGCTGTAAGTGGCAGTAAATTCCCCACTGAGCATCTCATCTTGTATTGAAAAATGCATGGCTCTCTGCCACATCCCCAATGGAATAGAACCAAGCCCTCCAAATCACAAAATCCTCCAACATTTTGGTAAACCTTTTATAGACAGCCAAAAATGACATCCATTTATTTACTTCATATAACTCAAGAATGGTATAGTACATTAAATAAATAACATAAGCCTCCCCACATGGCAGCAAGACTCTGCATCCACATTTCATTTGCTTCCTGCAAATAAATGATTCCCTATGTGTGAACAAACATAATATGAACATGCAGCTCTGGATTCGGTATAAAACAGGTAACATACATGCGATTCAACGCCAAAAAACAGAAATAAAATTTAAGCAACAGAACATTCAGCAGCTGCTTAAGAGGAGAGTAGCACTCACTTAAAGCAAATGCCACTCTTGTTTGTGTCGTGAAATACTGACGGTCCCAAAGGACCACCCCATAGTCATGGGTCTTTATGACATCATCTAGTGTGAACCCCATATAGCAGCTTGCTTTCAACAAGAAGAAGCAACTTTAGCATTTCCACACATACAGTGGGGAAAATATTTATTTGATCCCCTGCTGATTTTGTAAGTTTGCTCACTAACAAAAAATGAAGGGTCTGTCATTTGTATGGTAGGTTTATTTTAACGGTACGGAGCCCCGCACATGACATGCAAGAAAAAATAAATAAATCGTGCGCACGATTTATGAATTCATTCCCTCGATGTACTAAAACGTGCACACGATTTAGCAAATCAAGGGAACGAATTAGTAAATCGTGCGCACAATTTATTATTTCGTTCCCTCAATTTGATAATTCGTTCCCTCGATTTGCTAAATCATGCGCACAATTTACTAATTAGTTCTCTCGATTTATAAATCGTGTGCACGATTTAGCAAATCGAGGGAACGAATTAGTAAATCGTGCGCACAATTTATAAATCGAGGGAACGAAATAGTAAATCGTGCACACAATTTAGCCTACAATTTTGCATGCCTGCATGCCATGTGCGGGGCACACATGAGCCATACAGTGGGGGAAATATTTATTTGATCCCCTGCTGATTTTGTAAGGTGCTTATTAGATTACAGCCGTAACCGGGGAAACCGCTATATCTCCGCTCCAACAGCATCCCCTGCTGGCGGAGAATGAATTTGCATTTGCAAGTCTGTGGGAAACACTGGTGTCTGTCAGCAAACATAAACAAAAAGCATGCTTCAGAACTGTTTTGAGAAGGTGCTTAAGTTTTGAGCCATGTATTATTACTCTGAATTAGGCTACTACTACTATTACTATCTTGTACCCTGCAATAATCATTTACTCAAACTCACTTTAATGAGATCGGCCAAACATATCGGCCAAAAAAATCGGCATCATATATCGGCCATCGGCTGCCCTGATTTCTAAATATCGGCATCGGCATCGGCCAGTGAAAAACCCATATTGGTCGACCTCTATACAGAACTACAAAATTTTGCTATAAGTTTGATTGCATCATATAATTGCTGTTAATAGTGTTCATCATCTGATTACGTCTTTAATTGACTTTTCTGTACATTTCTGCCATATGTATGTACATAAACTGACAGTCACCACTGATAAGCTACTACTAAATATTGTAGAAACTTA